TTTATATGTAGTTGTATGTATTTCTAATTGTACATTAGGAAGGGGAGAGTTTAACACATGTGATAAGCTGTGACAAGGACGGGGAGAGGTCGAAAATCATGAAATTCATGCGTCGTAATTAATGAATCGCACCTAAACCGAGATATGTGCTTTATGTACGCTATCATAAAGCACATCTCTTACCTTAGGTGCGATTAGGAGTAGAAATATTTTAACACAAATGAACGATTCATTTTAGATTATTCATTCTGAAATAATAAATAAATAGATGAACTCGCCGGATTAGCGGTTTATAGTACACGGTGTAGCTCTAGAAAAAAAATATATGTATATTATAATATAATAATAATGTGTCTATAACTATAGTATATATTACAAATAGTAAAGTTTAAAATAGATAAATAAATAACCTTGGACAATTAACAGAGCGCCATCTAGTCCACGGTAAGTAGAGCTTGTGAGTATGGGTAATAGACAAGTGATATAAATACTTATATGTACATTTTTTATTGTAAATACTTACATAAGATTACATAGAAAACACCCAGACCATTACAAACAATCATACTCACGAATAAATTAGTTTGCATCGTGCGAGGAATCGAACCCGCGACCATCAGAAGTTAAGTGGTGTGTTTAACTGCTAGACCACCGATGCTATCAAAACTATGAAGGATTAATACTGATCAATAAGTATTATATTTTCTGTGTCAATCTATTGTTATAGAGAATGAACACTGAGTATCCTAAAGTACGGGATTATTTAGGGTTTTCATCTTATATTTGAAAGATATAAAGATATAATATATCATCATCATCATCTGCTTCTTCCTTATCCCATTTATTTGGGGTCGGCGTAATATGTTTTTCTCTTCCATTCATCTCTGTTCGCAGTCATCGCGTTATTTACTTCCTTTCTTACCATATCATCTTTCACACAGTCCATCCATCTCTTTTTCGTTCATATGTAACACCTTTCTTAAAATATTATCCTCGTTCCTACGCATTACATGTCCATACCATGATAGACCATTACTCTTCAACCTCTCTGACACCGGCGCAACTTTTATACTTCCTCTAATGTATTCATTCTTTATCTTATCCACTCTTGTCACACCACACATCCACCTCAACATTCGCATTTCAGATGCATGCAGTCGTCTTTCATCCGTCGCTTTTAAGGGCCAGCACTCTGATCTATACACGACAACAGGCCGGATCATGGTCTTGTAAATATTTACCTTAAGCTTAAGGGGAACACGCTAGTCCCACGTCATTGCCGTATCCTGCCGCCACTTCATCCATCCTTCTTTAATTCTGGGCTTTATGGTCCTGTCTAATTGGATTGATACCTGAATGTTAAGTGCCGAGTGTCTGAAAAGTAAGAGAAATGCACAATTAAACGTTGCCATCATATCTTTTAAACTTTAAGCCCACTTAACTGTCAACATTAGTCAACATACGCGCCCACCCAAACTACGAAATAATAAAATAAAATTTACAATATCGACAATAAATGTCACATAGATCTGATTAAATTTATTGTCGTTTGGACTTCTTTTAAAATGCGATCATTCCATACAGTTCTTGTATTAAGACGTTAGCTAACAATTTATCGTTTGTGTGGGTTGGTATTTAGATAGTGTACAATGAAAACAGCCTTCATAAAAGTGGCTTATCAGCATTACTTAGGCATTTCACAGGGACGCAATACTATTTGCTGGATGTACATAGAATAAACTGTTCTATTGATAGTGATATACAATTGTTTTTTGTGTAACAAACTTAGTTTCAATAACTTTGGAAATGTAATAGTTTCCTTTATAGCTTAATTTTGTATTGTAGTGTCATAGTAGGTACTTCTTACGGAACTGGGTATAATACAAAATAAATAGATGTGCCTTTAATTGTTTTTCTAAAGGGTATGTTTTAAAAATCCCACATTTAATATTATCTCAATATTATAATTTGTAACAAATATTTTTAAATTTAATGTTGTTAATTTTAATAATGTAAATATAACTTTTTGATGTTGTTCCGTTGTCTTTAGTCTATATTAAAATATTTGGCACCAAAATGCTGACAATAAATAAAAAGAAAATAATATTGTACAGAGATTAGAGATTTAAGCGAACAAGAGAGAAATATATATTTAATATATAGTCATATTATTTAAATGTATAAATAGTATTGTGATGTACAATTGTTTGGAATTTGATAGCTTAAAATAAATAAGCATATATTAAGAAGAAATAAAAAACATCATACTTTTATAAGAAGATACCCTATTAACCTGAATGGCAAATAGGTTGATTGCTCATCTGATAGAAAGTGGTAACCGTCGCCGAAATAAATGCGTTACCATTCTTCAGTGTTGACATCCTCTATGCCTATTTATAAGCCTTTTCTTACTATTTGATCTGGAATACTACTTGAAAAGCATTATTTGATAGCAGAATTACGTGTAATAAACTCACAAAGAGGACTTTATACAATGTCAGTTGTGATAGAGGCATAATATATTTTTATATCAACTAGTAGTCGTGTAATATCATTCCGAACTGACGATAGATTTGACATATCATACGAATCTGTAATATCGACTTGATGCATAGATTTTTTGAATTTTGAATGATCGAAATTCGCCCATAATTTATTTCAATTATAAGTTTGTACATTATTATGGTTCTATTGTCAAAGACATCTCTGTCAAGGGCATGATCATCATCTGCTTCTTCCTTATCCTATTTATTTGCGGTCGGCGTAATATGTTTTTCTTTTCCATTCATCTCTGTTCGCAGTCATCTCCGTATTTACTCCCTTTCTTACAATATCATCTTTCACACAGTCTATCCATCTCTTTTTTGGCCTTCCTCTGCCCTTACTTCTATGGATGTGTAATATTTTTTTTATTGATTTAATGTATTTTTTATGTACAACTTAAATACATGATTAGCATTCTGCACTCCTCTATATAAACTATACGTGTGCGAAATTTCATACTCCTCCATCCGCGCAAATTTCATAAAAAGGCGTACAAAGTTTTTGCTACACATAAGATACATGAGATAATCAATGTACAAACAGATTTGTCTGTAAAGATAAACAGTGAAAATAATTTATCCTAAAAACCACTTCTGTTTTGTGACGAATTAGTGAAACCTAGCTCGTTTTTAATGACGGGTCAAAGAATGTTGTTGATGCAGCTTTAACGAAGTTTGTTTTCGACAAAATTCGGCGTATACCTTCAAAAGAGGTTTCAAAATCGAGTCGAGCATAACCAGCGAGGGCTATATTTCATTTTACAGGCGATGTTCTGGATGCACTATTTTCTTTATCCAAGTCCGCTGAAATTGTAGAGTGTTTTTAGGCTACTGGAAAATATTCGGGCCGCTGAAAGCGAGGATTTCGGTTCGAGTTTCCAACCACGTTACACGCCTTTTGTATTTCTATGCAAATTTACAAGGAAACAAAAATTTTTGCTCTTGCCCGACCGCTGAAAAATGGAGGGAATTGTTTTTCGTGTGTATTCATATCAGCGACCATGAGTCGTGAATGTAATTGCTTAATTGTTATAACAATAATACGTTAAGATGAGTTGTATTATGGGCATCACATTATAGCGTAGTATATAAGTAGATATATTCTTATTGCTTGTCTTGTGTACATTACAAATGCGAAAGCTTGTAAAAACGCAAAAACGCAAAAACTACAGAGCAGATTTTGATGAAACTTTGCAGTAATATAGCTGATGTATATCAGAATAACATATAGGCCATATTTTTTTATTAAAATTTAACGCGGGCCACATAGCTATACCCGCGGTTTCACCCTATTATATAAATTTATGTATATTCCATTGGAACGCTAATTATATATTCCACCACCACTCCTCAATTCCTCTCAGTAACTGAAAGAAAACTGACTTGCTGACTGACTGCAAAGGTTGACTGGAAGAAATCCCTCTTTTGGGTCTGCCATTGTACATCCTTATTTTATGAGTTAATTGTGTACTTTTACACATAATTTATCGTCTGTAAAGGATGGAACTAAAACACCGACTTATTTTCGCAAACTGAGAGCACGCACTTATTTTATATGTGACACCGAGCGTCACCGCGATCGTATGAATCCGACTACAATATTGTGTAGAAAACGGGTAGATTTATATTAATTATATTGTGCGCACCCTCATATATATTTATTAAAAAATGACGAACGTATCGTGTATATTTATGCATATATACGTACATATAATAATAAATTTAATTTTATAAAAAAAAAAAAGATACAATATTTTGATAACGTAGTGCGTCGCCTACAATTCTGCCTCCTTAGTGCTAACTAGTTAGCACTACTAACACTAGCTGGTGATAGTAAGGCGACGCGAGTGACTGGTCGACGCAGTAGTAACGTCTACGACGCGTACGCGGCCGTCCTCACCTGTATGACTTGAGCTGACCACTCCATGACGCCAGCATCCACGATCCAGTTTAGGGTCCACTACTACTACGTAATCACCTACCTGTAATGATCTCGACTCCTCCATCCATTTTTGTCGAGGTAGTAACGTAGGCAGATATTCCTTTATCCAACGACTCCAGAACATATCCGTAATACGTTGCGCTATACGCCAACGCTTTCGTAAACAAAGGTCAGAATCATTGAAAAGTCCATAAGTGGGACCGCTGGATGACGTACCAATTAAAAAATGATTTGGGGTTAAAGCCTCTGGATAGTCGGGATCCAGAGAGACGTGTGTTATAGGTCGACTGTTAACCAAAGCCTCAACCTCTGTTAAGATAGTGGCTAGTGTGTCAGGATGAGGGGCTCTCTCTTTGAGAGTTACTTTAAGCGCTGTCTTAACAGTACGTATCATTCGCTCCCAAGCGCCTCCCATTTCTGGAGCGCCTGGGGGAATGAAACGCCATTCAACACCTCGTATTGTGCCATCATCACATAACAATTTAGTATTTAATTCTGCAATACTACGTTTAAGTTCAGAGTCGGCACAAATTAGTTCCGTTATCTGAGTAGATAACTAGAGGTAAACCCCGCCGGGCTCCCATACGACGTAAAGCCATTATTGCTGAATCACTGGACAGATCTTCAGTCAATTCCATGTGAATTGCACGTACTGTCAAGCATGTGAAGAGCATGCAATATCTCTTCTGCCTCCTGCGACCGACAGTGACTTCTATAGGTCCAAAAAAATCAACGCCAGTGTAACTAAACGGCCTCCTATTATGTTGTAGTCTCGCCGCTGGCAAATCAGCCATCCGCTGAGGCTGCGGTGCGGCGCGACGTGACCGACAGGTGAGGCACTGGGTAGACACAGTACGAACTGTTGGTCTCAATTTAAGTATCCAGTACTGTTGTCGTAACTGGTTTACAACGAGTTCGTTAGAACCATGCATAGCTTCTTTATGGTGGTGGTAGACCAGGAGCCGAGTAATTCTATGTCCGCCTCTTTATCAAGTATTGCAGGTCTCAACGTAGACAGTTCTACTCCTGCCATCTATCGATGCGACCACCGACACGCAGTACTCCTGTCTCATCGAGATAAGGACTAAGTTTTAATAATCTACTATTACGCATTATAGGTTTATTCTGTTGTAAACAAGATATTTCAACGGAGAAACTGTCCTGCTGACATTTTTTAATTAATAAAATTTCAGCTCTTTTCATTAAAGAAACATCAAACTGAATGTTTTTACGCCGACATTTGTTAATAAATAATAACACGCGGGCGGTGGCTCGCACTAATGTGATCCCAATTCGAGATATTATCTTCGCTAGGCAAAGATAATTCTGAACTGTACATAACCACATTAATTGATCGTTCTTCACAAGTCACATCTTGCGATGTCTTGGAGAACTTACGATCTTTAGGCCACTCACTCTCAGGTCGCCGTAGAAAGGCAGGACCCTGGAACCACGGGTCTGAGTATGACAGTGGTGATGCATCATCTCGTGTAGCTACATCGGCTACGTTAGCATCAGACGGCACATGACGCCACTCACAGTTTTTCGTCAGCTCATCTATCTCACCGAGTCGATGAGCGACAAAAGGTTTATAATTACGCGGATCGCTACGGATCCATTGTAAAACCGTACTAGAATCTGTCCAAAAGTAACGCCTTGCTGGTTTAAAATCCTTATGATCGGTCTCAATAATATTTGCAAGGCGGGCGGCTATTACCGCTCCCTGTAATTCAAGCCTCGGTATTGAAATAGGACGGAGTGGACTCACTCTGCTTTTACTACCAACGAAACTAACTTGAACACAACAATCCGACCGAATCAATCGCCAATAAGATACGGCAGCGTATGCCTTTGTTGAAGCATCACAAAAAGTGTGGAGTTGTATGTCTACAAAATTATTATTAATACATGTAATATTCGGTAATTCATTATAGCAAAAAGTCCACTCATTACCATTAATATAACACCTAGGTATACGTAAAGAATCTAACTTCTTTATTCACATAACCAACTAGTAAACTGAACAAACTCTGTTGGTTGGATGTATTTCCAGTCGACACCACTACGATGTACACTTTGAAATAATATTTTACCTTTAATTATACAAGGAGCAAGAAAACCATGAATATCATAAACAGACATTAATATACTAAGCATTTGAGATTTCGTAGGTGGCTCCGTGCCATTTATTATGTTTTGCGGAATACGGTTGAATGATATTTTAAAAGCAAATGCATCGTCATTAGGATACCACATCAAACCGAGAGTGCGCTCAGTTGTATTATTAGCTCCGTGTTTAAAATCAACAGCAGACTGAGTGAGCGCTCGATGCGGTATTGTGTTCAAAACCGGTTTGCTATTACTCGACCAGCGGCCTATCTCGAATCCGCCGTAACTATGTATTTCCGTAATTTCACGAACTAATTTAATTGCTTTTTCTTCGCTGTCACACGAGTACAAACAGTCATCCATGTAATGATTGTTAATAATAACATCTACCGCTTCCGGATACAAATCCTCATATTTAAGCGCATTTTTATTTTTTATATGTTGCGCAATGAATGGAGAACAAGTTGCACCAAAAACTAAACTTTGCATGACACATATTTTTAACGGGGACTTGTCGTCTTCCCGCCATAAAAACCTAAATAAGTGTTGATCTTCAGCTCTGATACGTATACGTAAAAACATGTCCTTTATATCGCCTACTATAACATATTTATGTTCGCGGAATCGCAACATAATACCTAGTAATGAGTTATACAAATCGGGTCCAGTAAGTAAGAAGTCATTTAAACACAAGCCGTTGACCTTACCGGCGCCGTCAAACACTAACCTCAGCTTACTGGGTTTGTTCGGATTTAGCACGCCAAAATGACAGAGATACCATATACGATTACCTACAAGTTCATTTTCCTTTAAAACTCGAGCATAACCATTATCAAACAACTTGTGCATCTCTGTTTTATACCTATCAGCGTACGCGCTGTCCGACTTAAATTTTCTCAATAACCCGTTCAAGCGTGATAGTGCATAGTTGTAACTATCAGGTATACATAAAACATCCTTAATGAATGGCAGTCCGACCTCCCACCTGTTACCTATGTTTCGCGCGGTCTGATCTAATATATTAACCGCTCTTAAATCGGCCGTATTCTCACGGCGTAAGGTTGATATTCCTATGCAGTCCAGTTCAAATGAATTTTTAACTAAGTTGTTTAATATAGTAATTTCACTTACCTCGTCGTTGTGTGTAACGTGGAAGCTGTGCCCCTGTGTGAGTGATGAGTTCGTGCGACCATAACTACCATGTATCGACCAGCCTAAGCGACAACGCGTTGCATAGGGTTCATATTTATTACCGTGTAATATTTCTAACGGCGCTAAAAGAAAATAATTATCTTCACCTATTAACAGACGAGGCACCACGTTCTCAGTACATACAAATTGTTTTACAGATGATAAATAATCACAGTGAATATTATTTATTACAGACAAATTTTGCATAGGTAATTTTAGTTTAGATACATTACGTAAAGTTATATTATAGTTACACTTATTATAGTTACAATTATCATAGCCAGAAATATTTAAACAGACTTTAGGAGCATCAGACTGGTATACTTCTAAACCAAAAGCATCAATTAATTTAATAGAACTAGAACTTAAACTTTTAAGACCAAGTTCATTTACTAAGCCGGAATCGATCATCGATATCGAAGCACCGTCATCTAATAAGGCATAAGTACTCACTGTACCGTTGGGTCCACTTAACTTCACTTTAACTACTTTGAGTATCACATCACATGACGTCACTGTGGGGGAGCGACCGCGCCCCGGTAGCCCGGGCGCAGTCCCGTCGGTAGCGGAGTTCACATAGGCTACAGTCGCGTCGGTACTCGATGATTCATGTTGTGATGATGTCGCCATAGTGGTCACGGGCTGTGTGTCTGTATGGATGGGCTTTCTGTAATGCAACAATGTGTGATGCGCCAGCCCACAGTCGTCTATGTTACATACAGGTGCAGCGCATGACATACGATCGTGTCGCGCCAATAAACAACAATAACATAGCTTGTTATTTTTAACAAAATTCCATCGATCCTTACGCATAGCTCTTCGAAATAATCGACAATCTGGCAATACGTGTTGTGATTTGTTGCAAAATCTACATAATTTTGATTCATTGATAGTTGTAGTTGTAAATACTTGTTTATTATAGTTGTAGCGGTAGCGATCATCTGTTCGCTTGTTATTTATTGTAGGCATGTCGGGTTTCTTTTGTTCTCGCGGCTGTGATAGACCGAGAGCCGACGTCATTTCAGCCTCACGTTTTAAAAAAGATGCATATAACATTAGTTTTGGTGTATCATCTGTCAAGCGATCAAATGCATAATCAGTGAATTTACTAATTAATATACTTGGTAATTTCGATGATATTGCTGACGCGAGCTCTGGGCTGCGTAAATAATCATGCAGATTCATTGCGTTGAGTGTAGCAATGCAATTATTAATTTTTATTGAAAAATTAACTATATCTTGTTGATAATGAGTAGGTAAAGATGGTAACTTTTTTATCTGTGTAGTTACATGGTGAATAATAATATCGGAACGGCCAAACCTCAGTTCCAGCGCAGATATGATGTCGCCGGGTGACGTGTTTTATTAACAGATCGGTGACTGCCTCCTTAGCATCACCTCTTAGTGCACGGCGTAACCTCCACAGGTTCTCCGAATCACTAAACTGACACACGCGAGTGGACTCCATGTATGCACTTTTAAAATGTAACCACTCCATGCAATCGCCAAAATAAGTGGGTAATTCCCTCGGTGTGGCGAGACGGGTTAGTAAGCGCTCATCCTGGTGTGATGATGAGTTCACCATCATATCCTTCAGGGTGTGTGCTAGCTGCAGAATACTATCTTCTCCATTGACTGGTGCAGGGCGGCTATGTTGTGGACAATCGGTTGCCGGCACTGCTTGCATCATCGGTGCCGTGTTCAACTCCTGATCAGCGTTACACGGCGGTTGTACATTACTCTGTTCTAGCCAGTCTTCAACATGGGAATGAATATGTGGGTCATATACTGAAGCGTGCTTAGAAGAGTGAATGGACCTTCTGCTGCCATCCGTGATGATGGCCAGGTTAGCTTCCAGCTCCTTATCAATCAAATCCAGTTGAATTTTTGCCTTTGCACGGGCATCCAGTTCCAACTGTTTTCGTATATATCTCTGACGCCTTTGATGACGTAACTGACGGATCCCGTAGAGGACGTTGCGATGACATATTTTGCTGCATGAAGAGTTCCTTTTCTCCACGTAGCGATATATTACTCCGTACCGTGCTACGCGGCGGAATTACAGCGGCGGTGTCTTTAGCGAGCACATGCTCCGAAGCACATTCTAACCTATCGGTCAGTCTATGGCGTTCTTTGTACGATATTATTTTATCGCGCGGCGGTGTATTGAACATTATTCTGGTTCAGATTTGGCGAGAAGGATCAGCTTTGTAAAGGATGGAACTAAAACACCGACTTATTTTCGCAAACTGAGAGCACGCACTTATTTTATATGTGACACCGAGCGTCACCGCGATCGTATGAATCCGACTACAATATTGTGTAGAAAACGGGTAGATTTATATTAATTATATTGTGCGCACCCTCATATATATTTATTAAAAAATGACGAACGTATCGTGTATATTTATGCATATATACGTACATATAATAATAAATTTAATTTTATAAAAAAATTGATAACGTAGTGCGTCGCCTACAATCGTCCAACAAAGTATTACAAAGAAATATTTCATTGCCATTCCAATACCATAAAAAATCAAGTAATATGTTATCTTTTATTCTATATTTGTTGTGTGTCTAAAAAAATGTTGTTATTATAATTAACGCCAAGTGTAGTGTTGTTTTAAAAATGTTCAATTGTGTACAAGTTTAATTAATAGACATGCGCCGTCAAAAGTGGTTTAATCGATCGCTTCGAATCTAATAAGAGATGCAAGAGGTCTTTAAGATTGTAAAATATTTGATAGATAGTCTGGAATAGCTAAATTTAACCCTTTAGATTCGCATCAATAAAATTAGATGCTATTAAATAGAAATCAACGTGGATGAAATTAGTTTCGAGGTTGAGTTTTGGTGACTGTACCTTACTCCACTGCGTAGTGTGAATATAAGCTAAAGCACCCTGAACTATTTTCGCGAATATAAATTTTATACATTGTTATTCTATTCCTACCTTTATTATTTTCTAGTCTAAATCCACCTTTACGGAGCGTCAACTGATACCGGTGCTTGTAAGACCGCTAAACGTTAACCGATACAATGTCTTTGAAGGTAACCTTCGGATCGGATATATCCCAAAACAATTCATTCAACTTTGCATTTTAATGCTAGCACACACAGTCCTTATTCCTATAACTACGCTTTCATATTTTCTTAGGGTACATTTTCGTCGGCGCCAAGAAACAAGCCGAGAACAAAAATCTGGCATCGACACATCCACGGAATCAATACTTTAAGAGAAATTTATTGCACTGTCTGCCTGGAAATGGCGCTGTCTCGCTCTTATATAGAACATCGTGACACATGCTGGTACTTAAGTCCTCTCTCAATTTACATTGCTATAATTGACGTGACATCTAGATTTGCGTTCCCCAATTGAATTGCTCTTTATGCGAAGGAAGCTGTGTAATATACTTGAGTAATACTTAAGTGTCGTGCCCTAATGGTTTAAAACCATTTATCCCAAAGGTCGTGAATTCGAATCTGGTCGTCAGTACAAAACTTTGTGTGTAATGACGGCTGCTTCGTTATTAGTCCTCTTATGCTACATCGGAAGGAAGAGGATTGTTAGTAATGTAGGTTAATAACCCTATTATCAGGTTGACCTCCACGCGGTTCCCCCTGGAAAGCATCATGTTAAATTTCTGGTGAATTTGCCACTCCACGGGTGCCCCGACTCGCCAGCGTAAACCCTTAGCGCAGACGGGAGCACCATTCCATTATCATCCATAAGGATACTGCTATATCCTGGCAGAGTATACAACTCACCTGAAAGAAATTAACAATTGACGTCTATATACATATATGAACTGTATTAGGAACAATATTAAATAAGTATAGTATAGCAAGTATTTAAGTACGTTTACATTATTTTTTCTATTATTATGCATGAGCATAAGCATATTAGTTTTGACACATTTACCTAAGTTAGGTAAATACCAATAGTATGCCTTTTCCCATTACCCTTTCTGTTTCAACCGCTCTCTGTTTTTACCCAAGCTCGCCAATTGTACATTTAGTTTAGATAAAGTGCAATAAAGGATAAATAAATAAAAAAATAATAGTAATATCTCAGAAAATTCACACAGTACCACCTTGTCCTAAGATAAGTAGAGCTTTTGTTATGTGTACTAGACAACTGATATAAATGCACAGATGCATATTTTACATAGAGAACACCCAGATGGACATAAACAATACTCATAAATAAATTTTTTTGCACCGTGCGAGGAATTGAAACCACGACCATCGGAAGTAAAACAGTGTGCTAAACCGCTAGACCACCAAGGCCGTCGAAAATGTCCATGTTATTGCCACTCCTAAGAACTAGGATGTTAGGTCTCCAGTATTCTTTAATTTCACTACCATACTCACCCTTTAAAACAAGACAGAGCCTGCGAAACTGGTGTGGGCAGAATTACGATTTTCAACTATGATCTTTGATGACTTTTCTAAAAGTGCTATATTCTGTTTTTATAAAAAATGAATATTTATATATGTCTACGTCGTTAGATATTGTTATTTACAAGTAGATGCAACTTTGACTTCTTTTTTTAAAAGCAATAAAATACAACATTGTTATTTATTGCCTTTAAAAAAAACAAGTCATTCTAAACTGAATCATTGGAGGGAAAATACAAATCCTTTACAATAGTACAAAATATTCGTTTTATTTACATTAGAACAAAAGGATAGTACAAACAATATTCTATCTAGGTAGGACAGGTCAGACAGATGGACAAAGTTTATTTCTATATAATGGTATCATAATACATGGGTCGACAGCGGTCAATAATAATAGAAAAAAATTAGAATTTTAATAGTTCATAATTTGAAGAATCGTATAACTCTGTTTAGCATCTTTATCTATTTATCTATGATGTGAATAAAATTTCATTACCAACCTTATAACGTTCCCAAACAACAAATTTCACTTATTTGCAATTCAAAACGACAATAATTCTTGAAATTAAACGAATGCAATAACAATAAAATATTTATTACGTAATCCCTTTTTACTGCGGCGACCGGAGGCGGCAATAAAGCAATTAAGTTTGATTCCCGGCAGGGGTATTGTTATTTAGTTGAGTACATTGTGGCCTACTAGCATACTACTCCAATATAAGATTGTTTATGATCGTTTATATTTTCAACTGAGGTTTTTTCCTTTTACCACATTGGTGGCATTCAAAAAGACTACCTACCGTGGCCTATGGACTCCCGGAATATTTTTTTTTTATCAAGTACATTTGTATCTCTAAGAAAGTGGAGACAAAGTTATATCGAGAATGTGATGTAACAAAGTGGTAAATGATTAGGTACTTTATATGCATTATACTGCAGTTATTTATTAAACATTATTGTGTATATTAGCAAACAGTCTCGGCTTCATACTGTTAGATTATAATAGTTTCGATAAGAAATATACAGAGTTGTATAGTAAATATGTTTATAATAATGGAATATTAACATGATCTTATTTGCTGATTAATAATGAATTGTTTAATTACAAATAGAAGTAATGTTATTGATATCAAGCGAGTTAGTTTCATAATTTTTATTAAAATAGTGACGGTACAAAACTGATCTGAAACGATATTTAGAGATAATTATTCAGTCTTGTCTTGGCCACAGTTCTGTTAAGACGTACCAATAAAGTTTTACAAATATAAAATACATTTTCATTTCTGGTAATAGCTAGAAAAACATTTAGCTATTAATACGGTTGCATTACAAACATTAGAATTTCTCGGCTTGTTCTATACTATAATAGGCATGTATTATACATATAAACCTTCCACTTGAAATACATTCACTAGTTGTTTCGTTTCACTATTTTATATAGTGAAATACATACATAGTGTAAGTGAAGTCGCTGCCGATATCTGTTTGCTTAGATTAAATTTTTTTATATATATATACTTAATAATACATTGAGTTGTAATGTCCACATTGAAGATACTATGTTCCTGTTATGTTCATGTATGTAGGCGACGTTTACCACTTACCATCAGGTCGGCCATCTTTGTCATTCCAATCACATCAAAAAACTTTCTTTCAAATAATATAATGTAAATATTATCTCATACCAATAATAATAATAATAATTAAGGACAATTCACATTGCGCCATCTAGTCCCACACTAAGCAGCTTGTGTTACAACTGATACAAATACATACTATTTTTTTTGTACATAGATACATAATATACATAGAAAACTCCCAGATACAAACAATCATATTGAATACAAATGTTTGTGCCATGCGAGGAATCGAACCTGCGACCTTCAGTTACAAAGCGGTGTGCTAACCCGCTTGACCACCGAGGCCGTCAATATCTAAGCGTATACCATGAATAGGGCATCTGAATGCAACGTAATTGGTACTTCATCTGTCTTAGTCGAACTTATATACGCTACATGAATAATAATGTAATAGACTTCTAGGGAAACATGCCAATATCATGAATTACAAACTAAATTGAAAGAAAAAGGGAAAGAAAGTTATCTTACTTTATAATATATATGTAGTTCATGTAAGTGTATTAACACTCGCGAGCAAAAGTATGGAATCACTTGGAACTGATTCCGCGCGATCTTGAGTACTTAATAACTAGTTAAGAATTATAAAAATGATACCATTTGAAAGGTTAAACTGTTAACTTTAAATTGCTATACATATATTCATTTAAATCACATTAGTATTTAAGGAGCTATCCCGGATTCTACCATGGAATCTATCAAAATATCTTTATTCATGTAGGTCTGTAACAAATCTTAATAAAGATATTTTGATTTCGTTACACATTTTTGTACCGTACGAGGTATCGAACCCGCGACTATCGGAAGTAAAGCGGTGTACTTTGATAGAACCCCCGTCCAATTCAAACGGGGATCGAAATTACGACGGCTTGGGTTAAGTTCGAACTTCCTAGTGGTGCCCTCAGATTAAAGACGTATCCGTCAGGCAGGAGTTGGCCTTCAGCCGCTCCATAAACACTTCCACGGGTTTGGAGTGGCATCTGCACTCGCCCCCTATCATCCGGTGAAACTGTAAAGGCCTGCTGCGGCCAACAACATTAGAATAGTCCGAAAAAAAGCGTAGCGACATGATCATGGTGATGCTATTCATATCACTTACTATCAACTGGTACATCATGTCATTCGCAGTT